GCGGCGGCGGGATTCCCATCTCCGCGGGGGCCTCCCTGGCTCTGGTCTGCCTTCCCCGGTCTCAGAGAGGCACTCCAAGTATCGGAAACTCTTTTATATGCACCTGATTTGCAAACACATGTAGAAATACTGAGCACGTGTTGTGCAGTCCTGTACATGGTTGAACCCCGGACCACCCCCCACCCCCGCGCAGGCATGCATGGAAGGCTCCTCCTGCAAAGCCCACACAATCTTTTAAAACCATTTCCATTGTGGAGAGAGAAGAATGCGCAGCAGTGACTTATCATGTGAAAAGCCAGGACATTGTAGAATTTCCTCTGGACATTTTTTATGGCTTAGTGTGATTCACATTTGAATTTCATGGGGGAGAGGAGGTGCCTAGGGGGCAGCACGGAAACATTTCCTGCCTTTGGTTTCCACTAGTCCTTTTCTCCTCCTGACTGGCAGCACTCTTTACATTTTTTATTAAAAACAAAACAAAAAACACTCCAAATAAACCTCTCACATTTTAGAAAAAGACGAATAAACTTCTCTTATTATTGTACAGAATTCTATCACAAAGGACATTGTGTAGTATTTAGGCAAAACTTACGTTTTCTAACGATCACAAACTCAACTCATCTCAAGAACAAAATCCAAATATTACTGAAAGTGAATCGGAAACATTTTCTAGGGAGGCTATGTGTTTCGGAGCATCAGGGTTTCTAGAAAATAGCCCCCATTGTGCGTTTTAAAACCGTTTCCGCCCTGGCCAGCCGGTGTGGCTGGGTTGGTTGGAGCATACACGTGTACTGAGAAAGGACCTAGGGTCCACTCTAGGTCAGGGCACATGCCTAGGTTGCAGGTTTGAGTTCCCTACCGGGGCAACTGATGGATGTTTCTCTCTCACATCGGTGTTTCTCTGTCTCTGTCTCTCTCTCTCTCTCTCTCCCTTTTCTGTAAAAATCAATGAAAATGTCCCTGGGTGATGGTTAAAAAAGAACAAAACAAAGCATTTCCTACACTTGTACATAGTTTTGAACATGTAATGTTGATAGTAACAAAATTCGATTTTACTTCTCAGAACAATGACACAGAGTTTAGTGCAAAGGGTCCTTTTTCTAGCATTAAGCAAATATTTCATCAAGTAGCAAAATTTAAACCAAGGAGAGGCAAAAACAAACAAATGAAGGGGGTGGGGGAGGGGGGACATGCCACAATGAGCGAGGACAGCCTGGGGCTCTGCACAGGGTTCTCATAGCAGGGCCAGAGCATCTCAGAGGCAAGCCCAGGAAGCATTAGCGCTCTCTTAACACTCTCCAAGGCTATCGGTGCCTTTTCTCCATCTTTTAAGACACATAATTGCTTGATAGCTGTTAAGACTATGATGACAATCTTTTGGTATAATTTGGATAAAAGCAAGCCCAGGAGACAGGAGAAAGTGTCAAAGGTTAGCCCCCCTTTTTACCTGAGGAGGCCCATCCCAGACACCCTACACATTCACCCTCACTCCTGGTGACATGGCTGAGCAGTGGTACAATCTATGTATCAATTGGACTGGAAGGGGCCTCTGTACATTGGGGAGGAATGTACTTGAATGCCATCGTTGGCCTTGATAGTCCAAAAATATCACTCTTTAGCCCCAACCTTTGAAAAGATGAAAAGCCAATGATCTAATTCAACAACATCTCATTCATTAAGAAGGAATCAATAAATGTTTAATGACCACTATATGCCAAACACTATTCTAGGTGCTCGGATACATCACTGGGCAAAACAGACAAAGATCCCTTTGACACTTATATTCTAGCTGCAGAAGAAAGACAATAAAAAATTAACATACAGCCAGACCGGTTTGGCTCAGTGGATAGAGCGTCGGCCTGCGGACTGAAGGGTCCCAGGTTCGATTCCGGTCAAGGGCATGTACATCCCCAGTGGGAGGTGTGCAGGAGGCAGCTGGTTGATGTTTCTCTCTCATTGATGTTTCTAACTCTCTATCCCTCTCCCTTCCTCTCTGTAAAAAATCAATAAAAATATATTTTAAAAAAATTAACATACAAATGCATAAATTGTAAAGTATGTCCAAAGATGATAAATGCCATAGCAAAAAGAAAGTAGATAAAGGAAGGAACAGTGGGAGTCTGGTGGGAAGGCCTACACAGAGGAAGTCCTACTGAACAATGAATGGAAGAAAGACCTGGAAGGTGGGAGTTAGCCAGGCATGCTGGTATCCGGAGGGAGGACTCTTCAAGCAGAGAGAACCTCTAGTGCAGAGGCACTCAGGCACTCATGACACTGTGTTCCAGGAACTGCAAGGAGGCCAGTGTGGGAAGAGAAGGGGCGGCAAGAACTGCTGGAGGTGAGGTGGGAGAAATACAGGGGCCCGGTCATGTGGGGCCTTTCAGAGCAGGGCTTTGACCTGAATGAAAGGCAGAGCCATTGCAGGCTTATGACACGACACCAACTGTGCTTTAAACGTTCACTCAGGCTGCTGTGTTGAGAATCACCAGGAGTGCACAAGAGTAGAAGGAACTGGACCAGTGAGGACACAGGCTGCTGCAGTAATCCATGTGAGGCCGTGTGAGAGATGATGTCTCAGACAAGGGTGGTAGCAATGGAGGTGGATTTCTATAAATATTTCGAAAGCAGAGACAAGAGGACCATTGTGACGTTGGGATTGCTTGTGGGGTGAGAGAAAGAGAGAGGACTGAAGGATGATTCCTAATGTGGCGCCTGAGAAACTGAAAGAACGGGAGTTGCCATCATCTGAGATGAAGACGCTGAGGAATGGGTGTGGAGGGAAATATCTGAAGCTCTGAGCAGGCTTGTTGAGTCTAAGGTACCTTTGAGACTCTCAAGTAGAGAGAGCATGTGAGCTGTTAAATACACAAATCTGAGATGGAGATGTAAATGTAGGATTTGACAGAGAGTTGAACCTGGATGAGATCACCAATGAAGTGCAAGAGAACCAAGTGAGCCCTGGGGCACTCAGTATTGAGAAAAGAGGAGGAAGAGCGAATATGGGCTAGAAAGAGCAGCCAGTGAGGCAGGAAGAAAGCTCAGAAAGGAATTTTAATGGGTATAGGGTTTCTTTTTGGAATGACAAAAACATTCTGGATTGATTGAAATATATTTTTATTGGTTTCGGAGAGGAAGGGAGAGGGAGAGAGAGAGAAACATCAATGATGAGAATCATTGATCGGCTGCCTCCTGCACACCCCACACTGGGAATTGAGTCCGCAACCCAGACATGTGCCCTGACCGGGAATCGGACCGTGACCTCCTGGTTCCTAAGCCAATGCTCAACCACTGAGCCACGCTGGCCGGGCGAACATTCTGGATTTAGATGATGGTGATGATTACACAACCTGTGACTATGCTATACTAAAAACCACCGAATTGTACATTTTAAAGTGTGAATTTTATAGTATAAATTATACCTTAATTTCAAAAACTTTTCTCAAGAGTAAAGCACTTCTATTTACCTTTTTCTATGTAGAGAAAAATACATTTATTTTATATATTTTGAGGCTAAATTTTTAGGATCAGACAACTCTGGAATTATTACATTGTTCACATGAATCTTTTATCACTGTTAGTCACCTTCTATATCTAGTAACACCCTTTGTCATTCAGTGCGTTTAGAAATGATGTAATCATTGCATCTGAAATATAATGCATTCTCATGATCTTCACGATGATTACTTCTGGTTTCCTCTATTAGTCTGTAGTTTATCCATAGATTTCCTGAGTTTGAGTCTAGAGCCCTGGAAAATGAAGTGTGATGTAGGAATTGTGTAGGTACATGACAGAATTCTCATCCAGTAAACCAGCCGTTCAGATTCTTGGAAGAGAAGATAAACTTACTCCTCTGTCCCCATCCCAAACAGCGAGGTTTCCTCCTCCCTTGGGATCCCAGATTATTTGCGACATTTCTTGCAGCTTGTAGGCACTATCTCTAACAAGGTCATAACCTTTTGCTATAGGACATCGGTTTTAATTTAGGCCAAATGCTATATTTTGATTATAAGAATATGATTAGTTGTCATAGGGTCATTTGTAAAAATTGGTTGGCTTATTCATGCATATGCATCTCATCTCACTAATATCTGGGCACTACCAGCAAGAGCTGAGACTATACCCAGAGAGCTGAGGAGCAAGAAGACAGAGTGCTCAGGGCCAAGCTTCGCTGTCAGACAAGTCAGGACCAAACAACTAAATGTCTATTCCTCCTCTGATTGGAGGTGATGCACCAGGTCACCTTGGAAACATGCAGGCTGCCGGAAAATGCCAGGAGACATTGTGCACTCTCCCCTGCATTCCCCCTCCTACAATGCACGCACACGTACACACACACACCACATACCAGTACACACACACACCAGGACTTTGCCATCTTACTCTTTCTTAGGCCAGAGACCCTTCACTTCCTCCCAACTGAGTATGAAGAAGCAGAGATACATCCAGCTTGTTTTTATTTTATTTTATGTGCCTAAAGGCACATTTACGTAGAGAATAACCTGCTAAGGACTAAGCTTTAACTACGTAAATCTAGTCACTGAAGATTTGAAGGCTCTTTTAAGGCCTAAAAATAGGCATCATATGACTATTCTACAATATATATAACAATTTCCCTAATGAATATTATTTCCAACATTTGCTGTTGCAGACAACAGTGTGTTTGGTATTCTAGACATAAATCTTCCTCCTGAAAACCTGCTGGTAGACGAATTCCAACAATCCACCAAAAAAAACGTCACAACACAGTCTTACAGCTTCGGTTTATCTGTAGTTTGGAGGGACGAACCACTCTTGCTTCTTTCAAACACGATGATCTGGGAAGAACAGAAAGGCTCACAGTGAGAAGTGGTGAGCCTGTTCAATACAGGATGAGAAAGATGCTGTGATCTGCATCCTGGGGATGAAGGCAGATCTGAAAATGTGTGAGACGTAAAGGCAGGGATCAGGGTGACTCACCTCATTGTCTTCCGGATGCAGCCAGGCCCCAGGAAGGTAAAGTGTTTGCTGTGGTCCAATATTCCAGTATCGCCCAAGGTTACGGCCATTGATGAACACAAATCCATAACTCCAGTCCTGGGAGGGATGGAGGCTTGAGACAGGGGGACAGATTCACACGGGCAACATACAATCTAAGGCTCTTGGGGAGTGAGAACAAGACGGAGATGCTTCGTGGTCCTGACAGTGAGTTCACAATGGGATATGTTCTAGAACAAGCATGTCAAATTCAAGGCCCGCAGGCCGCATGCGGCCCACAACGAATATTTTTGTGGCCCAGCCAATATAACGGTATGTAAGAAACATTTTAATAAAAATTTCATAACTTAATTTTTACAATATCCTGTTATACATAATTATTAATAATGAACTACAACGTTCGCTAATGACTGATGATTATAACCGTGTTGCATTCATTTCCCTTACGTGCCTTACGCGCAGGCACACCATTTCTCTCCACTAATACTAGCAGCGAACTGGCCACGTCATTAGTCTTGTACTAACTTGTTTGCGCAACAGGAAATATTTTGCTTTTGGAGAACAAGAAAAATAGGTTTATTTACATTACGCTTATTAATTTGTGCAGTTATTCAGTGTTTGGTAAGTTAATGTTGAAGAAAAAGTATTAATTTTTATTAAAATGTTCCATTATTTTATGTTGGCGATGACTCATTTATCTCAGCCCTTTGTATTCTGCATGTCTCTATTGAAATAAACCTACGTTTCTATGAAGCTTTTGCTTTTTTGCGGCCCACATACACTTAAACCTTGTTTATTTGGCCCGTGTTAGCCTTTGAGTTTGACATGCTTGTTCTAGAAGGTCTACCCTGCTGTACCTGGTCTAAGGATGACAGAGGAAAGCATGAACAACCTTTCGATGCTAATGTTACTCTTGTTCCTGCCCTCTGATATATAATGCTATATATTCTTTTAAAAGCAGGTCTTCCAGAAATAAGTCCTAGGTTAAACAGAGATGGACACTTCTACTGACAACAGCTATAAACGCGACACCATTTTTTTTAATCTTTTTTTTTTTAATATATTTCTTTATTGGTTTCAGAGAGGAGGGGAGAAGGAGAGAGATAGATAGAAACATCAATGATGAGAGAGAATCATTGATTGGTTGCCTCCTGCACGCACCCCACTGGAGATTGAGCCATAATGCTATATATTCTTTTAAACGCAGGTCTTCCAGAAATAAGTCCTAGTTTAACAGAGATGGACGCTTCTGCTGACAATAGCTATAAACGCGACACCATTTTTAAATCTGGTTGCAATGCAATGAAGAATTACAGGACCAAAATCTGGGAGAAGAAAACTGAGAAACAAGAAGACATGGGAACAGTTTTTCCACTAGAGACAGGAAGAAGTGCTGGGAAGCTGAGCAGAACTTCCATAGCCTCGCAAGCTTAGAGGAACCGAAAGTGGATACCGGGGAACCTTATTAAATAATAAACAGTTTACATTCAATATTATTCTGTATTAGTTTCATGGATACCGCATAGTGGTTAGATGATCATATATTTTATAAAGTTTCCCCCCACCCCGATATTTTAAGTACCCACCTGGCCCCATACATAGTTATTACAATATTACCGAATGCATTCCCTAGGCCAGGGGTCCTCAAACTTTTTAAACAGGGGGCCAGTTCACTGTCCCTCAGACCATTGGAGGGCCGGACTATAGTTTAAAAAAAAACTATGAACAAACAACAGGCAGGGAGGCAAAAACACCCGGCGGGCCGGATAAATGTTTTTGGCGGGCCGCATGTGGCCCTCGGCCGTAGTTTGAGGACCCCTGCCCTAGGCTATAATTCACATCTCTGTGACTGTTCTGTAACTACCAATTTCTACTTCTTAACCCCTTCACCTTTACCACCCAGTTCCCCAACCTCCCTCTCCATGGGCAATAGTTTGAACAACGATGATAAATTAGAAAGATTGAGCAATGCTGGATGACTGGGTTGGAGGTGAGGAGGGAAGGGAAGTATTCTTGCCTGGAACACCATGGCTTTGCTTCAAGACTCTTTAAGAAAGAATAGATGTAACAGAAGAAAAACAAAAAATAAATAAATAAAATTTTAAAAAGAAAGACTAGGCGGTTGAGAGAGCAGAGAGAAGAGGGCGCTCACTTACCAGCAGCCTCAGGAAGGTGTCCCTGGGAGAAGGGCCAGCCTTCAGGGTGCCCAGGTAGAAGGCAGGGCCCAGGGAGCTATTGGAGACAGGCCTCCAGGCGGCAGAGCGGAGCCTGGAAAAGGGGCCACGCCTTGAGGGAGAGGAAAGCCCCTGATTCTAGCCCCAATATGGACCCGGGTTTCCCACGCAGGGACTAGGGCTCCGTGTCTATGGGACATGCAGACGTGAAGTATTAAAATGAGAAACGGGAGACTTGTTCTAGGACTCCAGTCCTGACTCTAAAGACTCTATCATCCCGAGTAAATCACTTCCGTTCTCGGAATCCCGGGCTCTTCGCCTGCCAAGTGAAGAGTTTGAAATCTCTGAGTGCCCTGACCCTGCCAAGTCTCCCGGGAATAAGTGGGAACATACCTGTCAAAGAAGCTCGTTTTCATTTCCAGAGAATAGATAGTGAACCCCTCCAGGGGGGTGCTATTGATGGTCACGGGTCCGGTTACTCCTGCAGGGGGAGGGAGGAAAGACCACGGCTAGCCACTGATGCTCTCTCTCTCTCGGTGTCTGGGACAAAGAAATGCAGGCAGCAGACATCTTGTGCCGGGCTTCAGCCAGGAGGGCAAACACTTGTCTGACTCGCTGCGACTGAAGGTTTCTCCTATGTTTTCATACACAAGGCCGGCCGAGGAAGTCCCCCACTTAATATCAGAGCTTTTGCCCAGCCGGCATGGCTCAGTGGTTGAGCATCAACCTATGAACCAGGAGGTCATGGTTCGATTCCAGGTCAGGGCACATGCCTGGGTTGCAGGCTCATTCCCCAGTAGGGGGACGTGCAGGGCACAACCGATCCATGATTCTCTCTCATCATTGATGTTTCTATCTCTCTCTCCCTCTCTCTTTCCTCTGAAATCAATAAAAACATATTTTTTATAAAATCAGAGCTTTTCCTGAAATTCCCCAGATGGGCCTGGATCCTGCTCTAGGACAAGCCAGCACCCAACCAAGCCGCCCACTCCTGCCCTGGAGAAATGAAGGAGGCAGGACAACAGAGAGGGAAGGAGTCCTCACCTTCCGTCCTGGATCCTAAGTCTCCCCCGCCCGCCTACGTGGCTCATTCTTCCCTCCCAGCTCCAACTCAGCCCCATCTGAGGGTCTGAGTGACCACAAAGAGAACAGACAGCCTGTGTCTCAGGCCTAGAGCCCACCTTTCCTCTGGTCTTGAATTTTCCATGAATAGTTGACTCGTCCTTGGTTCTCCACCAGAATCCTCAGGAGCTGGCATCCCTGTTGGGGACAGACCAGTTCACGGAACCCACACAGCCACACAGGGGGATACTCTAGAACCCCCTTTCCTCTGAGTCCCACATAGAAAGGCAAGCATGTGGGAGACAGGACGCCCCCGAGCCCGGCCGTCCGTCCTCTCTAAGGACCCCGTGTGCTCCCATCCCACACCCAGCCTCTCCTCTCTCCCGCTGGTCTGCCTTAGGGAGGCCAGAGAGACGCAGTTGTGCTTTGATAGAGACCAGACCCGCGGCTGATGGTTGGCTCAGGGCTTAAAGGGGAAATTCCATTCACACCGAAGCTTGTATTCTGCAGCTCCTGGTGTATCCGGGCCTGGGAGAGGCGGTTATGCTCAGAGCTCTAGACAAACACTTCCTGCTGGGGCCCTAAGTGACCAGCGATGCCAAAGGGCCGAGGTAGAGATGAGGCAGTCATCTCAGAACCAGGGAGCGGTTGCATTTGAGTCGGAGGTCCAGCAGCATCGAGACTCCTGCATTACCTACCTTGACTTTAGGGATGCGCAAGTTCTGATTACCACCATCCAGGGTCCCTATATGTGTCTCGTTCAAAAACACCTGCAAAACAAGAGCTGGGGTCAGACCGGCAGGCCTACCTGAGGGGAGGGCCGAGAGAGGCTCTGCTTAGGGAGGAGGTCATTGTAAAGAAGGCACCAGCCTCGGTGCTCACACTTGGCTGGGAGCTGGCAGGGAGGCCCCAGTGGACTTGGTTGTGATAAAGCAGAAAGCCAGTCTCTTTGGTGTGAGCTTATGTTCTCAGTGCCTCACACATAGTAGGTGCTTTAAATGACTACCAAACAGCCCTAGCCGGTGTGGCTCAGTGGATAAAGCGTCAACTTGTGGACTGAAGGGTCCCCAGGTTCCATTCCGGTCAAGGGCACTTAGCCGGTTGCGGGGCTTGATCCCCAGTAGGGGGTTTGCAAGAGGCAGCCGATCAATGGTTCTCTGTCATCACTGATGTTTCTATCTCTCCCTCTCTTTCTCTCTCTCTCTATCAGTAAAAATATTTTTAAATAAAAATAAACAAATTACTACCACACAGCACAGTTGACCAGCGATTAACCACCCTTCCCAGTAGCAGAGTTGGGCTACATGTCCTGCTTACCGCCGCAGACAGGCTGCTGGCCCCTACCTGTGCCGTGTCTCGAACCTTCGCACGGAGCCAGCCTCTGGCGCAGATGGGTGTCTCATAAAGCACGAACCCGTAGGACTGACCGTTCCCAGCGTTGATGGGGAGACTCTCCATGTTGACGGGTGCGCTGGATATGACCGGCTGTGAGAGCCGTGGTAGAAACGCGAGCTGCATGCTGAGAACTCAGGATCCTCCCCCTGAGACCCTTGTCTTTTTTGTTCTGCCTCCTAATGATCCCCAAAGTCCTTTGGATGAGAAACGCTAAAACATCTATGTGCTGATGCTTTATATCTCCACTGAGCAGGAGACTCAGGGCGGGTGCGGGGGCACGGGCAGGGGCATGGGACAGGGAGCAATGGCTGTCATCATCAACTGATGAACAGAGCAGATAAGTTTTGTGCTATCATCACTGAAGTTGAGGAAAGAATTATGCACTAAATAAGCATGTATTTAGCCTCTACAATGTGTCAGGCACTTCTTTTTATCTAAAACGATGATAAGAAGAGGTAAAATCAGTCTGAATTCAAGACTTGACATGTTTCAAACAGTTTCCAAACTTTTCTTTAAAATAGGGCAGATTGTCTACTTTTAAAGGGAGAGCAGGGACCTGTAGAACTTCTGAGGTTTGGCCTAGTGCCGTGGTCGGCAAGCTGCGGCTCGCGAGCCACATGCGGCTCTTTGGCACCTTGAGTGTGGCTCTTCCTAAGCCTTAGGAGTACCCTAATTAAGTTAATAACAATGGACCTACCTATATAGTTTAAGTTTAAAAAATTTGGCTCTCAAAAGAAATTTCAATCGTTGTACTGTTAATATTTGGCTCTGTTGACTAATGAGTTTGCCGACCACTGGCCTAGTGGATGGCGAAAATGAATCAGAAACTCAGTTTCCCGGTTCCAAGCTCAGCAGCCTTTCCCACAGGGACCATGTGGACCCACAAGGACATTCACCAAAGGGGTTCATCGGAGCTGGGAAATAGGACCCTCTCATGCCCAGCCTCTCCCCACCCCACTCATTCTTCCAGTCCCAGCAGCCCCTTCACAGTCCACCAGGAAGGAGCGTGTGGTCTGACCCCATAGTTCTAAACTGGGGCAGCATGCAGAGAATTCGTTTTCACACTGTCCAGGGAAAAGCCTTGAAAGAATTTATCTCTGTGTGGCTGAAGGCCTTCTCCCCCTAATGCCCAGGCAGTACTCACCTCGTCTAAGTGCTGTAGGGCATCCCACAGCGGCAAGTACAGGGATGGTCTCACAGAAGGGTACACAGCCTTCGGAATGAGCTCAGGTAAGGGGGGCAGGGGAGATGCTGCAATGAAAGTGGGCCATGGGCAAGATGTGCCTGGAGCAGCTACTGCCCTCTCCCAGCCTCCCCATCCCTCTACGTAAACTCTCGTATCCCAACCAGTAAAGGGGTCCTCTCCTGGCGCATGGCTACACTTCTCCAAGAGTGAGGAACAACTGTCAAGAACGAGGTTGCAACCCTAGCCGTTTGGTTCAGTGCATAGAGCATTGGCCTGCGGACTGAAGGGTCCCAGGTTCGATTCCGGTCAAGGGCATGTACCTCGGTTGCAGGCTCCTCTCATGCAGGAGGCAACCCTTCCATGTGTTTCTCTCACATCAATATTTCTCTCTGTCTTCCCCTCTCTCTTCCAGTCTCTCTAAAAATCAATGGAAAAATATCCTTGGGGGAGGGATTTGAAAAAGAAAGAAAGAAAGAATGAGGTTGCAGCCATTCTGTATGCATGGAGAGCTGACAGATACAGACCCGGAAGGGGTAGTGTTGGCCGTGTAGACTGAAGGCCCCTAGGGGGCAAGACCTCTGCCTTATACCTTTCGGCAAAGCCAGTGGTTACCTACTTTCTAGCACATAGTAGACGGTTAGTTAACTTTCCTTAGAGAAATAAAATTACATAGAATGATTTTTGCTATTGTCTATACGGGTATTATGTTATACATTATATTAAGAGCTTCACGAACAGTAATTTTCACAATCATTACAGAAGACGAGTATCATTGTGTTCACGTTTCAGGGAAGAAACCGAGGTTTAAAGGGCTTAAAAATACTCATGCGAGACCACACAGCTTTTACGTGGGAAGACCAGGATTCGAACTTGTGACCCTTGCTCTGAAGCCCTTCATGAAGCTTGTGCCCACAGGGGAAATCCTGCCCTGTCCTCGCCCTTCCAATACACGAGGAGGGCCAGCCCTCAAGTAAAAATGGTGGCTGGGTACCTAAGACGGATCCAAGGAGTTTCCGAAGCTTGAAGTATTTTTTGGTGTAATCCCCGGCCTCTGTCAACACAGCATCATAGTCTGCAAGACACCAGGGAACGTCACTGGCCAGGCAATCCTGCCAGGCAGACCCCGTTTCGGCGCTTCTGGCAGAGATGGGGCAGGGCCACCAGAGGGAGACAGAAGACACATGGTCCCCACCCCTGGCCCGGTCCATCCCAGGCTAGGCCTTGTGGGACCAATGCCAATCTAGCTAGGAGTGTTTCCCATCGCCCTTCCTGGGACTCTGAGGCTGCCGGGCCACTTAGCTCATCCTCTGCTTCACTCTCTTCTTCCTTCCATCTGGATTGCCCAGCTGTGCCCATCGATGCCCTTCTAGCAATCACCACTTGTTCTCTCTCTCTCTCTCTCTCTCTCTCTCTCTCTCTCTCTCTCTCTCTCTCGGTTCAAGTCAAGGTGTCAGTGTACATGAACTTTAGGTCCTCAGCAGCCCCATCTACTGCAATGATAGCCTGTTGTGGGCATTATGAATATCACAGAAGAAAGATAAATAGATCAGAACATCATCAATTCTCAGCATGGATTATAGGTCAAGAACTCAGGGATGCCAGAATATGTTTTCGGAGCCTCCAGCACCCCCACTGCTGGAGGGGGACCAAACCGGCGATCACTTGCCATAGCTGGTGACGACACTGCTGTGTTCCCCCAAATCCGTGGCCCCATTTATGAAACCGAAGTTGGTTCCCCCGTGGAACATATATGTGTTGAAGGAGATCTCAGCTTTGATAAATTCAGACACAGTTTTTACAACATCTGTGGAGGAGAAATATAAGAAAGTAGAGAAAATTAAAACCACAAATCTGAAAAGATAGATGCACCTCCTATGTTCATTGCAGCATTTTTACCACAGCCACGATACGGAACCTAAGAATGTTCATCTGTAGTCAACTGAAGAAAGAACAGGTAGTACGTATATTCCTGGAATATTACTCAGCCGTGAAAAAGAATGAAATCTTACCATTTGCAACAACACGGATGGACCTGGAGGGTATTATGCTCAGTGAAATCAGTCAGACAGAGAAAGACAAATACCATATGATTTCACTTACATGTAGAATCTAAAGAGGAAAATAAATGGACAAACAAAACAGAAACAGACTCATAGATCACAGACTGATGGTTGCCAGATGGGAAGGGGGATGGGGGACTGGGTGAAAAGGTGAAGGGATTAAGAGGTATAAATGGGTAATTACAAAGAAGTCCTTGGGGGGGGCTGGTAAAGTACAGCCTAGGGCAGTGATGGCGAACCTTTTGAGCTCAGCGTGTCAGCATTTTGAAAAACCCTAACTTAACTCTGGTGCCGTGTCACATATAGAAATTTTTTGATATTTGCAACCATAGTAACAAAAAAATCAACCAAAAAAATGAGTTCGCGTGTCACCTCTGACACGTGTGTCATAGGTTCGCCATCACTGGCCTAGGGAATATAGTCAATGATGCTGTAATAACTATTAGTATGCATGGTGCCTGGTGGGTACTAGACTTACCAGGGGGAATCATGTTATAAATCATATAAATGTCTAACCACTGTGCTGTACATCTGAAACTAATATACAATAATATCGCCTGTCAAAACAAACATTTAATATCGCTAATTAAAAAAATGGAGAGAAGACAGACATCGCTGATGAAATCTTATCATTCTCAATCCCATCCCACTCTTAACTTCTTTTGTTCTTCAACCTTTGCTAAGATTCTAACCAGAAAATAGGTGGGATTGGCCAGAACTACTCTAGCAACCATGTCCTGTTTCCTCAAGCCTTTTTTAAAAGTTATTTTTCGCAGAGTATGGACATAATTGGACTCCTAACAATATATATTAGACAATAGCCTAAGAACCATTATGCCACTTATATATCTAACTAGAGGCCCGATGCACAAAATTTGTGCAAGGGGCACTCGGCCCTCACAGCCCCACCTTCATCCAGAAGGTTGTCCGGAAGGACGTCCGATCTAATTAGCATATTATGCTTTTATTATTATAGATGTTCGTTATGGTTGGCTCTTCACGGTTGGTATGACTTTGAATGGCCCGTTTTTCCTCTCAGGGCCTCTTCTTCCTTATTTGTTCAATGAAGGGCCTTATTTCCACGTACCACATCATAGGACTGGTGAGAGAATTAATCGCTGAGAGAATATATGTATAAGAAACAAGTCATAATGCCTGACATATAAGTGATCAGAAACATGTTGTCTGCTGGTGGGGGCGGGGGTGGGGTTCTATTTTTCAAGCCAACGCAGACTTTGCTCAGTTGCCTCTGAAGGAGAGAGTTGGTCCTCTCTCCTCCGGGTACCAGCGAGCTTGTTTTCATAATAGTGATAGCAAAATACCTTTAGTAGCAAAATACTTGTATTAACCACGTTGGTCAGGCGCCGGTCTGAGTGGTGTACGTGGATTGACGAATTTATCCTCACAGCAGCCCCACGAGGTAAGTTACACGCTGATCCCCCCTTTGGGATGAGGACACACTCGGAAGGGAAGGAAGGCTGCCTTGGTCACGGGGCTCCGGCTGAGAGCTGGACTGAATCCTGGCCCTTGGTTCCAGGATCTACCCTCTCAACCATCACTGCCGGCTTCTGATAATGACTACCATGTGCCATCCCCCCAGCAATGGCCTGTGTAATCCACAGAGATGATTAAGAATGTTGGCGAGTGGCCCTAGCTGGCTTGGCTCAGTGACTAGAGCATCGGCCTACGGACTGAAGGGTCCCAGATTCGATTCCAGTCAGAGGCACACGCCCAGGTTGTGGGCTCGATCCCCAGTAGGGGGCATGCAGGAGGCAGCTGATCAATGATTCTCTTTCATTATTGATGTTTCTCTCTCTCTCTCCCCCTCTCTCTCTTCCTCTCTGAGATCAATAAAAATACATTTTTTAAAAAGAATGTTAGCAAATGCATCCCCTTCTTCAGAGATGTCATACTCTCAGAGGCCCTCTGTCACCCCCTTGATGCCCCTTTGCGGGTCTGTCCCTGTCTTTCCTGTCACTGCATCCTCTTTGTCTGCTTCAAGCACTTGTCAGATAGTGAGTGTTTTACTTCTTGCGTATCTGTCAGCTCCCCTAGAACACAAGCTCCCTGGGGTAGGAACCAGGTAATTTTTCTTCACCAGGGCACCGCCAGGCCTAGCCATGTCCCCGTCCGGACCATGTGTTGAATGGACAGTCGTGGTTGAATGAGCTGATGGACTAGCAGGGAAGTGTGTGAATGACCCATGAGCTGGGATACCTCTACTTGGTCCAAACACTGAGAAACACTTACCGTCCGCATCTTTAACCATGTGTTTACCTCCCCACGTGTCGAACCAGCCGACCCAGTATTCCATAATCATAATGGGCTTATCTCTCTAGAAACAAACCAAATGACACACGAAGTCAGACAAAAAGAAAAAAAAGTCGGAAACACTGAATACAACGGATGAGAGTTGGAGGAACTTGGGCTTCTCACTTGTTTCCAAGTCAGCCCGTTACACCTCTTGCTTCTCTGTTTCCCTAGACATCACGATCACCTTCTATCATTCCAACCTTGTCATTCTCGAAGCTGGTGTGGAAAGAATCAGCTTTGGAATCACAAAGACCTGACTGCAAGTCCTCACGTAGAAACTGAAGCTCAAGGGTCACATGCTGGTAAGGTCAGAGACACAACTCAAGCCCAGGGCTGAGCCAGACTAGCAGCCACGGAATTATATTGTCGATTAACGACATCATTCGGAGGAATCCAAGATGGCGCGTAAGAGGGAGTTCCACTCACCCCCTCCCTGGACCACATCAGAATCACAACTAAATTGTAGAAAAATCAACCTGGAGAACCATCTGAAGACTAGCCGAATAGAAGTCTTATAACTAAGAGGTGCAGAAGAAACCATGTTGAGACTGGTAGGAGGGGCAGAGGTGCAAAAAAGGGCTGGCCTTGCACCCACGTGTGGCGACTGAGAATCTGGAGGGATATCTCAGCAGCAGAGGTTCCCCCTGAGGAGCGAGGGGTCTCAACCCCACGCTGAGCTCCCCAGCCTGGAGCCCAGTGCTGGGAAGAGGAGCCCCTATAACATGGGCTGTGATAATCAGCAGGGATTCTGTCTGCCCAGATGAGATGGGCCTCTGCTAGAAACCCAGGTGCTCTCTTAAAGGACCAGCACACAAAATCTCATTCATGGGTACGCACCCTGGGCTTCAGCAGAGGGACAGCAGCTCTGAGGGGACCTGAGTCATCAAGGGAGAGACTGGGTTGTGTGGCTTTCGGGAGAGGGCTGGAGGGACAGCCACCAATGTCCCTGTGCTGAGTCCCTCTTCCAACACTGCATTCCCCTCCATAGAGCATTAGCCTGGTGAGCTACGCTAGCCCCACCCTGCCAAACTCCCATAAGGCTCTGGGAGCTGCTGCCCGCAGCCAGCCTAGGCCTGCAGAGCAGTCTCCTCCGTCAGCAATGCACATGGCTCATTTCTGAGCTCTGCTCTCTCAGAGAAAAGAGAGCATCCTCTCCCTCTGATTGACCTCATGTAACCCCTGGCCCTTCCTCTGGTCATCTCCATTAGGTGCTCCACAAACAGAGGGGACAGAGGCAGAATTTCCTCCTTATTCCCCCTGACGAAACAGATAAACTCCCCAAAACACTTTGAAATCTAGGTGAGGCCTCAGGGGGAAAGCTGTATAGTCTTTGTCAAGCCTCCTATCCTCATTGAACACCAGCTGTACAGGTTGGGGCCAGGGGAGAGGGGGTGGTCATGGCAGGTGAAGGGGCTACGACTCTTCCTCTCTAAAACATCCTTACCTGCACTCTCTCAAGGTGCTCGAAAGTATTCTTCTGAAATGAGTTTATATTGATGGTGGCCAGCACTGTAGAAAGAAGGGAGAGATGCTGCATGAGGCCCTGGGGCAAGTGCTGCCAGGGGAGGGACAGAGGCCCATGCCCTGCACACAGAAGGAAGTGTGCTGAGTAGTGAGGTAATGAGATACTACTTGTATTCCATGTTGCAACATGCAAAGGGCTGTCACTGGGCATTTGCAAGGACAATGTTATGGAAGAAGGGCAGTTAAAATTAACCATATTTTGTGCAGAGAAATGGAACAGGCCAAAGTCACACAAATTGATTAGACCTAGGAATTAGACCTGGGGGTAAGTGGAGGTGGGCAAAGGGGGAAAATGGGGACAGAAAGAGACGAGACTTTGCCTGGGGTGATGGGCGCACGATGCAGCGTGCAGATGATGCTTTGTTGAGTTGTATACCTGAAACCTGTATGGTTTTGCAAACCAATGTCACCCCAATACATTTAAGTAAAAAAATAAATAAGTAAGTAAATAAAGGTGGAAAGGCGGGCTGCGGACAGAAGAGCTCCCTGGCAGCTGCTGTTGAAGGAAAATAGGATCGAGGGAAATGATGGCGTTGCTATGGGAACTCTTCGCTTTGACCTTGGGTTCTCATAGCAATACCACCTTGCCAGGGTCCACCTCATGTGCATGGCAAAGAGAGGCCTCAGAGCTATTCTTGGTTCTTTCTGACGCTTGTTCAAAACTCAAACTGGCGGGTGAAGAGCTCCCGTGCTCCCTGAAAATATGCCTAAGTGCCTACCTCCTTTTATGCTGCCTTGGAGCACGTCATTCTCCGCGTCAGAGGTCAAGAGCAGCTCCACGACCCCTCTGTTCAGCAGGGCCTGTTGAGAAAACTGGACAGAGTGAACCCCCTCTCCTTTCCCCCGTGGGAAGAGGGAAATTAGCCAATAAATGCACTGGGCCAAGAGGGACAGTGTGTGAGCCGGAGAAGAAGGTTTGGGTTGAGAGTCCGACCATCCACAGCTCTCTCTCTCTCTCTCTCTCTCTCTCAGGCTGGTTCTTCTCCCAGGGACGCAAAAGCCGCTGAGTCTGGGCTGTGACCCCCATCACAGCCTCAAGGGGAAGTGCAGAGGGAGGACCTGAACTTGAGAGAAAGAAGACTCTGGAAACTGGGCTTGAAGGGGAGAGGTGGGTGCTATGGGGCCTAGTGAAGATCAAAGAGAAACTTCACAGACGTGGGTCCTACCTGGACATTCCGAGGAAGCAAGGAAGCCCACCATGGCTTTGGGGATGCGGAGACCTCATTAAAAACTCATATTTGCTAAGGGCCTCAGAAGCAGACGGGTGACCAGAGGGCCGGAGGACCCTATGTGTGCCTTGCATGGGCACCGAGCCACAGCTGGGACTGGGAGCGGAGCCGAGTAGCAAATTTTTGAAATCAAGGAAAAATAATACTCGCTGAATGAGACTGATTTGAGGGGTCTAATGTGGCGCCCCTGAGAAACGTTAGGGAGGGGATTTCTCACAGCCTGAAGCCGAGTAGCAAATTTTTGAAATCAAGGAAAATAATACTCGCTGAATGAGATTGACTTGAGGGGTCTGATGTGGAGCCCCTGAGAAACGTTAGGGAGGGGATTTCTCACAGCCCTCGAAGCTGCAGAAGCCACAGGTGTGGGCAGGAGACGGGACACTTGTGGAGCCTAGCCCTGCCTCCTCCCTCTCTCCTCACCTGATCGCTCTGCCCTGCCCAGCTGGCAACTCCCCGCCTGCCAGGCATGCCACCCTGAGGTTCCCATGGGGACAGAGCTCACCCTGCCTCCCACTTAGCAACCCGGGGGAGGGATCCCATTGACAAGGGAGCCAATCAGGTTCCTGAATGTGGGCCGTCAGGGACAGGGAGGAGCTGACCCTCCCACAAGGACAAGGGCAGGATGGCAGTTATGCCCTGGCCTGAGGCATCCCCCCAGGAAGAGAGACTATTGGTGCTACAGGTCAGAGAGCTGCCAGGTGACAGCCATCATCAAGTTCACGAAGCATTATTTCCTTACTGCTCGCCAACCCCCAGCTCTCATGAAACTTGTGGGTCGTGGAGATCCTTTAACATCATATTTTATCTCAGAATAAAGTCATTCAAGTGCATCTTAATCGCCCTGACCATGCTGTGCAGTCAGAGAAACGGAACTCGGTCCCTGTATCGCATAACCCACAGAGCCTACCAGAGCCCACAGCAGACTCAGAGGCAGAGGAGGAAGGAAGCATGAACACACGGAGACCAACCAGGGTTTCTCACCTTGTGAAGATGCGGCATGTACGCTCTATCCTTAGCGAACGCACCGTACTCGTTCTCCACCTGCATGGCGATGACAGGGCCTCCCTGGTGGTACTGAGGGGGCAGAGAAAGGGGAAGAGGGGTCTCGGGGGGCTGGGAACCCTGAGCCAGCTGGTGTGGGCACTTTGCTCCTAGCTGTTTCCTGACCTGGAGGCACGCTCTCTCCTCTCTCGTCTGATGGGCAGGCACCTGCAGGCCCTTTGGCGGCACAAGGAGTCCCAGTGCCCTAGTCCAGTGGCGGGCAAACTCATTAGTCAACAGAGCCAAGTATCAACAGCCGTCTGATGGGCAGTCACCTGCAGGCCCTTGGGAGGCACAAGGAGTCCCAGTGCCCTAGTCTTCGTAACCACATCCACTGTGTTCCCGCTCCTTCTCATGCTAATGAGTGACTTCAATAGGAGAGCTCATACCCACAAACTCACCTGCTAACACACCCACCCCATCCACTCGCCCTTCCTCTCTAAAATCAATAAAAATATATATGTAGCTAAAAGAATGGTAGGTTTTAAATATATATATTCAAGTAACAAAAGGAAAATGTCCAGTGAGAATTGTAAATTTTCGTATAAAAAAGTATACAGTGGATAGAGCGTTGACCTGCAGACTGAAGGGTCCCGGGTTTGATTCCAGTCAAGGGCACATGCCCGGGTTGTGGGCTCCATCCCCAGTAGGGGGTGTGCAGGAGGCAGCCAATCAATGATTCTCTCTCATCATTGATGTTTCTATCTCTCTTTCTCCCTTCCTCTCTGAAATCAATAAAAATACATATTTTTAAAAAAGAATACATACGCAGCCCTAACCGGTTTGGCTCAGTGGATAGAGCGTCGGCCTGCGGACTCAAGGATCCCAGGTTCGATTCTGGTCAAGGGCATGTACCTTGGTTTCGGGCACATCCCCAGTGGGGGGTGTGCAGGAGGCAGCTGATC